CGCAAGCACATACATGGTAAAGTGGAATACGTGTACCTATGATGTCTTTCTTAACTATTGCTTGGAATTGTCCATTTCTGAATAGAAAAAGTAACTGCATCTTCAGCATAAGCATTAAGATTTCACCAAATAAATTAATTTCTGGTATCAAGCAAGAATATCAATTATTTATAATTTCTATCATTTTGTTTCATTTTTCAATTAAATGAGAATCAAGATTTATTCGCATTACCTCACCAGAGGTTTGCTAATTTGAAAAAAAAAGTTCTTGATACGTGTCATTAATATCATATGAATAGAGATATATGTAAACAGAGCGAGCATATAAATATTTACAATAAAACACAGCATTAGAAATATGTAAAATATAGACTTCAAGAAATGTGAGTATGATCTCTCGGCAAACCCTGTAAATGAGTAAAAACCAAATGCAATATATGAATTAAAAAAGGATTACTCAAATCATTTAAGCATGAAATTCTGTATTAAGTGAACAATCCCATGGTATTTTCTTCAAATAACTGGAATCTTAGCTTGAATTTCATCAATAATTATGATAACAAACTGCCACTTTTTTTAAGATTCTCATGACTTGAAATATACACAATCGCGCTACTTATTATCTTTACCATTATGCCATGGCTGTCACAAATACACAGGAGGAAAAGTTATAAGCATAATTTAGCTTGGTGCGTCTCGGCTTGTACAGACCTTTGGATTGTAGTGTTAAGACAGTTAACCAATTTACCGGTTGTTAAATCGTGGTAATCAAACAGAGTAAACTTCCGATCGGCCCTGAAGCGTCCGACCCCGTAAAGACCGCTTTGATTGACCGTCGTACATGTATATAATTCATAAATAAATGAAATCAATTCGTAACAGCAGTATAGACAGCAAGTACATTGTTTGGGAAGCATGTTTCTGCACAAGTGGTCTGCATCAAGTTAAAAAAACCTACCGAATACCAAACGCGGCGCCCCTTCACTGAACCGATTTTGTTGCAGCTTAATTGGATCCGTGTTGGCTGTAGTGTAACCTTACGATATTTGAAAATCGTTCTGTTTTCAAAAAGTCCCGATTTTGTGTGCATTAAAAGTGACGGAAAGGACACAGTAAGCAGTCGACTAGGGGGCAGTTTTGCGAACTGTTACGTCACAGAGCGGAACCGCTTTGGCGGCAAACATTTAATGGTTTTGAACGATATTAGAAAGAGGAATCGTACCCAATTTCTGCTGTGAATTGAAACTTTTCGGCAGCAGAATAAGATGCAGTTGTTGGATTGGCCGTCAAAATCATTTATTCGTCAACAAAGGAAAGTTTCGGACGTCTTTCGGCAACATACACGAGAACGTTTAATTTAGTCGTCAATCTTGTAGTAACTGGCCTGTGTCTGAAACAATGAATAGGTCAACAGATTCCACTGGTTTACGAGTTCCATGCGACGACGCTGAAATTCTGTCTAAATGCACCTCGAAAACCGTTACTGTCTTGTTATAGTGTTACGTTTGAAAATGAAACCGAGGTGTTTTGTAATTAAGCATGGCAGCATCTTTATTCGAATGGATAAATTAATTCATTTTTACATGATTATAAAGGGAAAACTTGATACGTTATATAACATTACATCTCACATATGTACGGTTTATACTTCCTCGAACACAGATCGATCGCAAATTCATTTTTTGAATGGTACTGTTTTGGAGCGTCAATCCTAATAGTTAATATTTGTTAATCCTTGGTATACCTACTGAGATCTGAGTTGAATTTATTTATTTTTTAATTTGTTTCCCTTTATCTACTTTTCTGCATATAGCGAGCCGAAATAGATACAGCCATCACACTGAAATTTGATATGCACATGTGCGGATCCAATACCATTAAATGTGTGTAGGCTTTGTTCTAGCTAAATAATGTATGCCTTGGACCAGAGATATTGTGACATATGCATTAGTACCGAGTTAGTTAGATTAGTGTAAGCTATGATGAGTACAAATACCAGATACTCTGTGATGTGGCACTGTTATGTTAATCTAAATTCTCTACATATACCGGGCCTTTGTGTGACGGTAATGAGTTGGAATACCGGGGTCGTAAACAGTCCACGTCGAATCTTGCTACTAGAGAAAAATGTCCATAGTCTTCTTCGGTTTCCTGTTCCCAAATCTACAAAAGTCTCGGGCACCTGTTTTGGCAACAAGATATGGCTTTATAATACCACAATATCGCCAAGCATCATTTTACATGGCCTTAAAGTCGTTTATGAGTAGTTCCAACTTCCGGTCCTCTCGACCTGAATAACTTCTTTGTTATCACAGACGGAGATAGTTTTTGACGGGTGAAGGGTGTGAATTTTTTTTACCTAACACTATGTGTTAGGTCTATGTAACCCGGGTCATTCTGTCGTAAGAAACAGCCTGCTTAAAAAATAGTTTATCATTTGAGTTAAGAGCGTGAATCGACGAGAATAACTTCCCTGTGGGGAGTCTAAAAACTTCGGCCCGATCTCGACAAGAAGACTGTACTATATACCAGCGTGAGTTGTATATTCTGAACATATCACGAATTTACGGGGAAAGAAAACCTGTTCTTCATAAACTAGTGTTGATTGATCAAAGATACAACACTAACAAGTGCCCGTCTAAGGTATCCAGACTAACATTTCTTCCGCCGGTGACGCTAGTGTCAGAGATGTATTTCAGGGTCCATGGTTTTATTGGGCTACCTCCCTCCTACCTCCCATGGCCACATTCAGTAAATACCCTAGCTAATTAACTTGAAACAATATACCTTTGTTATGGTTCAGACACGTGAGAACGAAGCAAACAGAGGGTTGGTCACGTTAAGTCCAATAATACGTGTAAGTATTTGTCATTTTGTTTAATATATGATCTCCGTATGAATCTTACCCATGGATCTCAGATATACAAGGTACGAGTAAATAATGAATTACATAGGTATTATCAATTTGCACGAGCAAAAGTGTGATATTCTTTATACTCACGTGCAATTACTTACCAACCATAAATAACTTTCGGATATTTTAAAACCATTATCGCGAAGAAAATAATCTCATGTGCCGTTAAATATAGAAAACCGTCACCGGAAGGAAGACCTGCTTCAAGCGACGAAGTTATATCATAAACATGGCGATGAGCACATTACATCTAAACTGTATTACATATACTTAGGTGGATGTTTGATAGACGAAAATCTGTCGTGTCGCGATGATATTAACTCGCCAATTAATGGGCATCAAAATACACATACACCACTTAAAAGCTAACCTTGAATGTATTGAAAAGAGCACCCAAGTACAGTGCTAGTATTACCAACGGATTTGTTTAATCTCGCGCAGTCGCAGAGTGCGCAATTACTAATTTTGACTTCGCAACATCCCGCCGTTCGGTGCATCCTGAATAAGAAATTATGTCCTCTATCAAAGATGTTGAAATCGTACCAATTCGCCAGAAATTGAAAGAAATTCTTATAAGTTAGTGCATTAATACAACAAAGACTTAGTCTGCATACACATATTTTCGTTCTTAAGAATGTATATATAGTGCATCATCAATAATAAAAAAGAAGACTTCAGCAGTTCACTATAACATCATAGACAAAGGAATATAAACGTACTGAAGGTGTATAAAGAAGCTAGCGAATAACAATATAGCGAATTTTCTCATTATTATTTATTGCACAAGAAAAAACTCTAACCGTCAGATGAATTATATATGTTCAAGACATTGCTTACCTTTCATGTAGATTTGTACAAAGACTAGAGATAATAATATGTAGATATTGATTCAGAAGTTTAAGGGGAAGGGCCTATCCTAACCTGTCTATATTCAATATCACCCCAGAGTGCCGTATATATATATAGCTAACAACGCTCTTAACGCAGCTGTATGATACAGTGGCTGGCGAGAGATAATGACGCGGATTCTGTGCCCGCTATTATACAGTGATACTCGGGACAATCTCATGAGTTTTACGTAACATGGAATCCTTACAGGATGGGATTATACGATTTTGTATAGGAGACGTCTAAGTTATTACAGAAAAGAAAATGTTTGGCCGGTTCACGTTTGAAGTTACCAAGACGATTCCTAAACCACGGAGGGGTATATTTAGACTTATCAACTGCACAAGGTATAGCCAAGCGATTCTGAAGCATGAGCAATGTTTATGTAGCTTTATCAAAATCAGTGGAAATATTTTACAAATGCCAGAGAAATGTTTACAGAAACAATCTTCGACTAAAAATACGAAATGGATTTCAGTCAAAAATATCTCCGTTTTATGATGATGGTGTTTGTGCTAGAAGCAACATCTTTTTGAATATTTCCTAATTTCAACTGAATACTCATTGTGATGAATTGTTATTGAAAGTGTTTCGTTGTGGAAAAAATTAGTTTCCTTATTGTTTATACAAAGGCACTATGATGTGATGTTATTTTTTGTTTCCACGTGTCTACAGAACAGCGTCATGGTTCGCTGAATACACAATCAGAGGGCACATGCGAATTCACGTGAATGAACGGACATCGTTTAGTCTTAAGCTCTTTCTTTTACTGAGGAGAAAACATCGCCAATGTGTTAACAATTGTTAGAACTCGGTGGAAACAAATGTCAGGAATATCATTATTTCTGCGTGCTCGTAAATAAACATGTCAGATCAAAAGGCTGGAGATCGTCTTTCACTTCAAGGGTGTTTTACTTCATGATTTCGTGTTGGGATCACTAAGTGTGCATAAAGAGCGAAAACATTTATCATAACCGAAAGCGTTTGAACGCCGCAGATATCGGACACTTGTGAATCGTTCACAGAGGAGTTTCCAACGGTTATAACAAAAGTGATATTTCGTTTTCATATATTCAACAGCATTTGACTTAAATGAATCATGCATTGCCTTCAGTATAACTACTAGAGTACGAATATAATGTAAACCAGTCTGAATTCATGCAGTATATGTTATGATATATATAAATCTTTACGAGTATATTCATTTGGAGAGAGCATTGGATGGTTAACCAGCATGGAAATGAACAGTAGTATTGAAACTCGTCTTCTCGAGTGGAATTCGGGGATTTCTATAGCCCTACTACCCAATGACGTCATCCTGGCTTTATATCTGACTATAGGAGTATTAGGAAATCTTATCGTTTTGTATGTGTACATCTTCAAAATGAAAAACAAAAAAGATGTGCGTTACTTCATTCCAGTTTTAGCTGTGACAGACGCCATCGCCTGCCTCGCTGGATGTGGTGTTAGTTTACTAACCAATATATATCCGGTTATGTTTCCTGTTCCGGGTTTATGTGAATGTCTGTGGTTTTTTGCAATTGTTGTGCTGATATGGTCTGGTCTGCTGAACCTAGTCATAGCATATCAACGTTATATGAAAATATGCCGCCTTGGAAAGAATATGACATTAGGATTTCGACGGAAGGCGTTATTCATCACCGGTTCTGTGGCAACAGTGTTATCACTACCGTCTTGGGCTTTCTTTGCAAGAGTACCTGTCTACAATTACCGTACGAATGTGACCGGAAATCGCTGTGGTAGTCGGTACGAAACTGACCATACTTTTAAGGCATTGATTTATATATATCAAGGAATCAACGGTATGCTGAGTCTAGTAATAGTGACTGGGATAATAGTATTTTATAGCTCAGTCGGAACAACGCTTTACAGACAGGAGAACCGCTTAAAACGTCACGTAAGTTCAAAAGTACCCCCAAGTCCAAGCCATAAATCGGCCGATATAGCACCTTGGCGGGAATCGCTAGACGTCACAAGCAATGGTGAATCTAAAGGTATGGGTAGAAATGATTTAATTGTTATCGGTGGTTCTACACTGGATGTGCCAAAAACGGAAACATGTAGACTAACTGACGATATAACAAAGCATGATAGTTTATCTTCTAATCTAGAACGGGAGCCATCATCGAAAAGTCAAGCAGCACGGTACCGTGTAACGTACATGTTCATGACTCTAGCGCTCGGCTATATACTATGCCTTGTACCGACGTTTGCCGTAAATCTTTCCAAAAATATAGAATCCAATAATTTCTGGGTAAATTTCAACAACGACGAAGCATATTCCTTAACAATTATGTTCTGTTTAAGACTGCACTTGTTAAATAACGTTATGAATCCCTTTATATACTTCACGTTCGATAAACATTTTAGGAGGGCAGTCATAAAATTGTCTTGTTGTTCTAACTGTTTCGGCTGTAAAAGCTGACATGTGTACACCGCTCAATATATAACTAGAAGTATTGTTTATTTACCTCGTGTATTATCATAATGTCAATAAATCACGTACTAATTATAGAAATATTGTCTGTATTATTAATTTTTTTTCACCTGTGGTGTCTTGGACAAATTTACAAATTGATGTCTGAACACTGAAATGGAGCAAAGCCCAACGAGAAAATATCAACATAATTACCATCCACATTCAAATTAAATACAACTAGGGCAAAATATGAACGAATTCAAATAACTTATTTTTTGTCAACCATGTGAATATATATATATTATTTTCTGTCTTAGTCATTGTTAAAAAATCAACTCAAATTATGGCGGATATTATGAGTGTTTCATCACATCTATTCGAATAAGGATTAGGAGAAAAACCAAGAAAACACCAACATATCAACATAATGGTAGACCAAATTCAGATACAATAAAACTAAATCTCTTAATGGCTGTACAATGCGAATAAGACCATGCGTTTCGAAAGAGTAAGCTCTTGTGCTACAAGGTACATAATGTAATCCGCATTCTGTCTCGACACCATCTAACGTAGGGGCATACAGTAGTTGTTGGATCTCACAAAACAACAAAATTACCGATCGGACATGCCTACCTAATCAGTCGGACATTTTCAGCTTGTCTATAGGACATACACCAGTCATCATTAGGACATACATAACTCGTCATTAGGACATAACTAACTCGTCAGTGGAATATACCTAACTCATCTGTAAGAAATTCCTAAAATGTCAGTGGGTCATAACTGATACATGAAGATAGTGATAGTGAAAGGGCATTTAACAGTAAACAGTAAGAAACAGTGTACTCTACCAGTACAATATCCGAGAACACAACAGTAAGGAAAAGTTCGTGTAACCTTTGAGAAGTCGGTACTTTAACATATGTCATGTCGATGTGTAACCCAGAACTGTTGCTGATATAACACACACTTAGATATGTAACCTAGGACTTGTCGGTGCAGTAATACATGTATATATGTAACCTGGGAGTTGTCGGTACTGTAATACATGTATATATGTAACCTGGAAGTTGTCGGTGCAGTAATACATGTAAATATGTAACCTAGGAGTTGTCGGTACTGTAATACATGTAGATATGTAACACTGGAGTTGTCGGTACTGTAATACATGTAGACATGTAACCTGGGAGTTGTCGGTACTGTAATACATGTAGATATGTAACCTAGGAGTTGTCGGTACTGTAGTACATGTAGATATGTAACCTGGGAGTAATCGGTACTGTAATACATGTAGATATGTAACCTGGGAGTAATCGGTACTGTAGTACATGTAGATATGTAACCTGGGAGTAATCGGTACTGTAGTACATGTAGATATGTAACCTGGGAGTAATCGGTACTGTAATACATGTAGATATGTAACCTGGGGGTTGTCGGTACTGTAATACATGTAGATATGTAACCTGGGAGATGTCGGTACTGCAATACATGTATATATTTAACCTGTGAGTTGTCGATACTATAATACATTTATATATGTAACCTGGGAGATGTCGGTACTGTAATACATGTAGATATGTAACCTGGGAGTTGTCGGTACTGTAATACATGTAGATACATGTAATACGGGAGTTCTGCAATAAAATCCTACAACTGAACGAATTTCAGACTGTTATGATAACCTTAATGGCGTCTGTAAATAGCAACGTTTATTGATGATGTATTTCGTAAATACCCACCTAAATTAAAAATGAGAACATGACAGACACTTCTATATCAGCGGCTTACCCCGACACCAACCGGGACAGCCTTTTTCCAAGCTCTTTGATAAGCATGACGATTTCGGCAATTAACCTATTGTTTATTTGTGACCAGCGACATTTCAAAATTCTCAACCTATCCTTATAAAAACTGAATTCCCGCATCCCAAATCCTACGCTTGTTACATTTCTTAGATTCAATATTTAAGGGAGTATTCCCAATATTACGATTTTCGTGCAAGATGTCAGCAGTTGACAGATGAACTCACGACAAGATGCAGATGGATGAAGATTATGGAGAAATTTTACAATTCACAATCATCTCATCATGTGCGATATGAAGATGCCAGTTACTATGTCACATGGTTCCGTAGTTGTTACCTTTGTTCTTATTTCGGAACGTTACATTACATTGTACTTCCTTGTATTGACCAAGATAATATTTATATTTTATAATGAAGATTCTGTTGATGTGTCGGTATTTTCATTGTTCTTATTCACCTTTCCCGATCTGTATAGCTTATCAGGATACATTTGTAGATTGTTCAGGTCACTATCGAGAAAAAAAATTAGACGTTATATACTGTCACTTCGCCGGTATAAAGATGATCGAATTACATACTGTATTTCCCAATAAGACTGCAGTAGCAAATCTACATGTTTTAAGTTCAGGTAACAACAGCTAGTGACGTCATGATCATAAATAATGGTGAAAGTTGAATGATCTAGTAGATCATATGGTGTAGTTACATGTTAAGTCCCGAGATATATACGGATATATTGATCCTGTCACATCCGTCTATTATTTAGTCAAGCCTTATAGAAACAGAATGGATGCGACAGTAAAAGTACAAATCAGGTTAAAAACCGAGGGGTAAAGGGCGTAGTCACGGGAGAGAGTTTCCGAACAGATAGTTTTTGACAGGAAACAAGCGCTAGCGCGTCAGTTTGATTAAATCGTACACAAGAATCCTTTCACAATTTGTTACAGGAAGCGTTATAAAACAACACTGTTTGATGGGTCCACACTTCCCTCACCCTCAACTGACGTGTCAAACAAAGGTATCATTGCCTCCCGAGATCGACAGGGCGTGCGCGAATGTTTATAAAAACTGTAACGTTGTGAATATTAGATGTGAGACTTATCGCAACTTAGTGCACAAAGAATAATTCTAAACGATCATTTAAGATGATAGGATGTGCTTATAAATCATCTTCTAACGTGGCACTGAACGAGGCACATGCCCTTAAACAACTTTTTGTGTATGGTATCTTTATGACTGTTTGGCTTGTGTATGAGTAATTAATCAGTGTGCTGAACAAATTGTAAAATACATATGTATGATGTAGTTTCTCATGAAAATATCAATGTCTTTGTTTCACACAGGTATATCAAATCGTTCTGATTAGATGACAAATATGACCCAGGCAATAAAAATCTTTAATATAAGCATCGAGAAATAAATTATAGTGAAACCTCATCTAACGACCACCTCAAAATTACGACCGACCCGTTATTTTTCAGTCCCGTTTTTTCCACTATATGTCTTTGTATTGGTCGCTTCAGCATTACGACCACCCCGCTATTCCGTATTACGACCACTTCTTACAGTCCTAACGACCACTAATTAACGATGTATCATGAACGGGTGGTCAATCTTCTGCCGATATGTCCCGCCACGATTTTATCGCGACAACAACACAACAAAACGTCGATGTTATAATGACGTCATAATTGGCGTGGTCATTTTTGAAAATATAAAAGTTTAATTATAGGAAATTATTACCTTAATTGTGTAAAATGTGTAAAATCCACATTTTCAAAAATGTGAACTAAAAAATTATGACCTATGGTTTAAATCGTCGATACCATGCCTGTAACGTTTTTTTGATGTAATGTCATCCTAACATTTGATAAAGATATCATGAGTTGAAAAAAAAATATGTATATAAAGGTACGTATGTGTAAACTGATGCTACATATCTTCGTGACTACATCCTGGCACTTTAAACTGTTATTTTTATTGTCTTCTTTTCATACATTATTAATGAATCAAACGTAAATACATGTTTTTTATATATACTTGTATGTATGTTTAACTATAGTAAATACGCTGTCCTTTGGTTAATTAATTAGGGGAAAAAAGTTAAAATCCACACGGCTTGAAGATGGCGCCTAGACTTGAAAACGTTTACAAACTAATGTGTTGATTTTATATTTTTGTTGCAAGTGTTCTGTTCCCATAGAAATGTGGCCTTGAAATATGTATATTAAAGAAATAACTTCCTTAACTAACATTATTTTTCGATGATAGCTTCTCCGTGATGAGAAAATGGCTTAATGTCTTACGACGTTAATGAACGTTCGAGAAATTGGGGTCGGCTTCCATCCAGCAACTATCTAATGAGACAATTTATTTACGTAAAACGCTAAAAACTAACCATACTTGCATTAATTGATTCGGTACACACGTTTTTGGCAGATTCCATAATGAATGACATTAATGACTGAAGATACGGGTCAATTATAATAAGAACACCAGTTACCGTTCCTGGCTGACATACTTAGTGGCTATCTACAATCTATGTCAGTACAGTACGGGCACCAGTTGGAAACTAAGACTTGTGTGCCACTGTAGAGATAGTTCATGATGTTATTGGACACTGCTTGGATCTACAACATCATCATTAGAATGGCAGATTAACATATCACATGAAAACATGGCTTAATATTTCGAAATTTTCTATCCTCCCACCACTTTTGATTTTAGATTCCAAATATCATCACCATTGTTTAATATACTTATGTATCGTGCTGTGATCTTATCGTTATCAAAACTATCAAAAGTAATACCGCGGAGTCTAAGTAATCAAAGACATATGTGATTCTTACATGACCGTTTACAAAGTCAATCAACCGTGGATTGAATAGCATACTGATGATAAGGTTGTAAAACACCCTGTAAAAGTGTAAACAATTCTGTATATCATTATCGCCCTGTTCATCATCAGAATAATTTAATGATGTGACATCATTACAGCTCTGGCATTAGTTACACTTTAAGTGTCGTTAATTAACATTAATTGTCAGAAAATGTAATATCTGTTTTACAGCTTAAGTCTTCCTGTTATATAAGACAAAAATAAATGTATCGATTGTTTTAGATATAAAATTCTCTAAAAAGTTGGTCTTAACTACTAAAAACGCACTTTCTAAAGCATATAACTATTCGCTCTATCAACATTGATAGAAAATACCTGTATTTTTTTTATCACGAAATGAATTTTACTACCAAAGTTTTCATTACAAGATAACATTTTAAAGATATGATGTTAAAT